GAGCCTAAAAGTTTTGATAGTATCTCTCTAGCTGATGAGATAAACTTTACTGATGAGATGACTAAAATGAGCACAGTTAATTTAGGATGATCTTTGGAATATCTAAAAATCTATGTATGGTTAAATAAAGCCATGGAGCCTGAAAGAGTATTACACCAACTCAAAAGGCAAAGTTTATTTTCTGCCCTTTAACCAACCGGCTTTCCTTTCCAAACATTTACTGATAAAGCCTTAGATGCAAAAAGCAGATGTAATTTTTCAAAAAAGTCAGAGAATTTCATTTTTGTCATAAATGTCACGATAGCCTCTTTAAACACTTTAATGTAACTGTTCTATTTTTCCTTATAATGTATACTATTGTTCTATCTCATTTGAGCTAATACTGCATTTTATTTATTAGACAATAGTGAAATCAATTTTAGCATGAGAAGGTTGCATAACTGCTGCAAAAAGATTCACATACATATAAGCGCAGCAAAACAAAAAGATTGGCAACGAATTCCTAATTTTATTTAAATCCTTGCTAAGATAAACTACACATGCCTAAGTAAAAAAAATAAAATGTTAACAATGAAGGTATTTTGACTAAATTGCAAACCTTAAAAATGATACAAAATAATTTAATTTCTTTATTTCTTGTTTTGGTAATACAATTTTGTTACATGACTGCCATGCTTCAAGTTAAAACTGCAAATCCAGGACACACGGACTGTTTCCTAAACAAATTTGGAAGTTGTCATCAGGAAGCATCTGCTACTCTATTACGCTCACGTAAAAGCATTCTTGTGCTATCATAACAGACTATTGAGCAGATGTTTAAAAGCACTATACCCACAGCAATGTATGTATGATAAAACAGATACACAGCTACCATCTAATTAATTATATTAGTTCCCTCATAAATGAATTATCACTAATTTTAATTGATGTAAAGTTGTTCTCAACATTTAAGTATCCCCTAACCTAATCGAGTTGATTTGTTCCTTTTAAAATGCTGAATTATTTAAATCAATAGATAAGAAATTACATTGCATGCCACTCTGAAGGCAAAACAACATACTTGTAGCCTTATCAAAAGTTACTATTTTTATTCCTTCTGGTGAAGAAGTAAAGCTAAAACCCACTGGTAGGGAGTGACTTTGATAGCTGGAGAGAGGCAGATGGTCTCACTGCTCTTCAGCTGGACCCGTGATGGGGAGGCTGAAGAGCCATGGCCAGGTGTGCATGAAGGCAGGGTGCTCCCGGAGAGAGGCCTCCCATGGAAAGGGAAGGCCCAGGGAAGCGCCCGGCTGCATACGCTGGGAAGAAGACAGAGCTACCTGGAAGAAGGGGATTTTTCTCTGCTGACACCGAAGGGTTCCCTCCGTGCACCTCACCCAGAGCGAGGCAGGCTGCGCCAGGGCTCCTCACTCAGCCCCAACTCCCTGTGAAATGCAGCAGTAGCCAAAAGGGAAGTGCTTGAACCAAGGGCAGCCACATCTCTCTGGATATCTACTCGCTGCTGCCTTTCTCCCAATTCCCAGGTTTCTCATCTCTTTTTTTGGTGTTTTGACCTCAATTTCCTTGTGCTTCGGGCAAGCCTCCTGGGAAGATCTCCTGCATAAGCATGGAAGGATTGGGCTGCAAGCAGGAAAGAGAGGAAAAGGTGACGCAGGCACAGTTACTGGTACTGCTAGTTTAGTCATAAGAGGGGGCAAAAAGGAGATGCAACCTGGATTAGTAAGCAAATTTGATTTCACTGCTTAGAATATATTTACACTTAATTTCATTTCAGCCTCTAAACCTAAAACCAAATGTCCCACGCTTGCATTTCTTTAACTCTCTTTCCTGTGTGGTAGTCCTCTTTTTCCAGAACTG